TGGTCTTTTTAAAAACTTGACACACATCCGCTCTGGATGTGATCAGTGGGTTTCCGTCTTGGATTTCTGGAATCTTCCTGACTGGATCTGCTGACCTCAAACCGAGCGTAGAATGAATTGAGAAATGAAAAGGTTGCTGGAACTAACTCACCTTAATGACAGTGAGCCGAAGGCCAGATTCCATGTGTCTTAGCTGAGTTCAGACAGGGGCAACAACACATACAGTATATCCAGAATGGATAAGATGGGAAGATGCCCTTCGAATGCTCGGAGCTACCAGCATGCACTGTGACGAAACACTACACTGCTGGGATTTTCCACCACAAAGGAAACACACATATGACATCGTGTGACTGTCTTATTCCATCTGAGTCATTACTCTAATCCCCTTGAATACGAACCACTGCAGGGCTGCATGACTGGTTCAGAAGCCCAGTTCACCTCCACACGAGGCCCACTGCAAAGCGTTGAATGAATGAAAGCAGGACAGGACACTGTGAGCAGGTGGATTCGACTGCGTGCGGCAGAGGGACAGCGCCAGCTCAAGGATGCCGCTCCGTGGTACGTGACGTCCTGCTTCTCCTTTCACGAGCCGCCTCGCGGTCACATGGCACTGCTTGTAGGGCCCCCATCTCTGAGCCCCCCCCCAGGTCCAACCGGGACCAGGAATGCGAAAGACGGGAGCACTACTAACTCAGCCTGGGACCCCACTGTCCAGTCCGAGTAAAGACGGGTTCAAAGTTTGGGTGGGTAGGTCTGCCTAGAGACCCATGAAGAATGATGGAGTAAATTCCGACTCTGAAAAGGACGATTGGGATTAAATACAGAGAACCCCCGAAAGTGAGTCCCGAAACTCTGTGTCCACCACCCTCTAGCAGTGAGAACAATGAAGGAGAAGGAGAAGAAAGTCCCCGGAGAATAGATAGATAGATACTTTATTGATCCCGTGAGGGAAATTCACTAATCTTGAATCCCTCCAGTCGGCCCCGGAGGTGTCTTTATCTCATGCTCCTCCAGCAGCTGGAAGGGGCGAGGGGGCAGATTGTCGAGGGTGGCGCCCCAAGAAAGGAACTAGGGTTCATGGTGACAGTGGGCCCCATTGGCCCCGAGTTCCCATCTGGCAGTTCAGCAGGTCATGTCACATCAACTCTTCTTCAAAGATCCCCAGTAAATCCGTTCCCACAAACCCTTGTCTGTTGCAGACAAGATGCTCTGGATTCTCTATGCGAATAAGTGATTCCTGATGTTTTTAGGAACACCGATTTTATGTGAAGGACAGGCAGGGCTTTTATCCCACCAATCAAATCTCCCGGGAAGTGCAGTTCGTCCGTCTTCCTCACCGCGGATGCGCTTGTTTTCGTTTTGAACACACTTGTGGAGGTTGCACACCGCCCCTAACCCAGGCACGTTACGTGTAAAAAAGTCTGAGAATTTTCCGACGCCCCCCCCCAGTCGCAGGCAACATCGCGCTGGCCAATCAGCGCCGAGCAGGTTTAGTTCCGGGATGTTTGATGATGTGGCTGCAGAAGACACCAACACCGAAGCAGGAAAGAAATAAGAAAATAACAACAACAACAACAGCACCAGGAATCCGCGGACAGGTCAGTTACTGTTCACCTCCACTCCACAACGCGTCACGCGTGGGCTTCGAGTCGCTGTCAGTCCCACAGCAGGACGCGCGGCCTGTCCCCTTTTCAGAATTAAACTACTTGTTTAAAAGCAGGAGTAGACAGCAAGGTTGGTCGATTCGTGGGGGCGACGGCACGCCACCTTGTGACTTTTGTCTTCTCGCGTGGGACTTGCGAATTATTTTCTCTGCGCGCCGAGGTAGTTGCGTTACTAGCCCGCCCGCAAGCGACAGGTGTCCACTGTCCCTCGGGTTTGCGGTCACGCTCGATGCCAGGGGCTGTAGTTAGTCGTCGATAACCGCCTGTCCTCGGTCTTCAGTGGTCGCGGCCGTGAAGCTCGCCCGGGCGGCGTGCGTGGGGTCGGGGTGACGCAGTTCCCTGGACCGAACACGACCGGAGCCCACGGACTGGCCCAGTCTGGGCTCCACTCCCCCAGCCAGCCCCAGAGAAGAGACTGGAGGAGGTGGAAGATGATTAAACATGATCAGCTCATCCCGAACTTAATTGTGTTTTTTTTTAGTATGACTTAAATGCCAAAGATTCCTTCGAGATTTTGTATATACCGTGGTCCTGAACTTCTTGTGTCCTTTTGACGGCACCATTGGACATGCTCCTGATTGGACATGGTCGTTACCGTGTTGCTAGTTTGGTGAATTACCGCTGCTGAGCCTTTTAATTCTCGAGCAGAGAAGACTTGCGAGGGCGCTTGATGGAAGTATTAAAAAAAAAACCCTCAAAGGCGCCGATAAAGTCCACCCAAGTGGAAACTACTTGTGTGTGTTTTTTGTCAAGCTGACTACAGGAGACGCTTCTTTACACAGAGGGTGGCGGGAGCAGAGAACGGGCTGTCCAGTCACATGGTCGATGCCAGCGCTTTTGCTTCCTTCAAGGAGCAGCTGGATGAGACTCTTGGATCAGTTAGCTTCTGATTAGCAGAATGGCCCCAGATGCGCCCAAAGACCCACCTCTCATTTCTCATTGCTGGTCTACAGAGATCTGCATGGAGTACTGGCACACTGAAGGACATGATTGAAGGTTTAAAACTCCACACTTTGTACTCTTTTTGACTTGCACAATGTTAGCATGCCCAGAGGGGTTGGGCAGCCAGTTGGCCTTGGACCCCTAGAGGTTTCTTTTCTCCTTACAGAGGAGTTTTTGGTTCCTCTCCTCCGTTGTCTTCTGGCCTTTTCTCTTTCTGTATTGTAACGTCACGTACCGTCACGCAGCTTTGTTCAGTGCCTTGGGGAACCTTGTTGTGAAAGGTGCTATATAAAAATAAATTGAATTGAACGTTTCAGTGTGGCTAGACCCGGTCAGTCACTGGACGTGAACCCACACAGGTGTGTGTGTGTCTGGGGTTCTCCTCACCCAGTTGCTGAAAAGGCATCGCGGTCAGACCCCCCCCCGGCCTGCTGGGGTTTCCCCTGTCACCAGGGGGCCGCAGAGGGGCCTGTGAATACTGCACATCTGATCTCCACAGGGGGCTTGTGTGTTCCCGTCTCCGATCTCTGCTGGGGGGGCACAGCTGGCAGGAGAGAAGCCCTCGCTGTCCGTTGTTCAAGCCCAGCAGTGAAACCGCACCAGGGTGCCAGTGGAACAGGGCTCATGCACTGAGCCAGTGACAGAGGTGACACCCCCGCCCCCTCCAGTCCAGACAGTGTAGAGCTCTGCTGTGATCCTCTTTATGATTCTCGCAGTTTCATCTTTCCTGTCTTGTTCTTCTTCTTCTCTGGTCTCCTCCCCTGGTGTGCCACGCCCCCCTCACCTGCCTGAACTGGGCCACGTCCTTGACAACAGGCAGGAAGACACAACCCGGAATGTAATAACATCCTGCAGCTTTAGTCTGAAACCAGTCCTGCTGGCTGCAGAGCACAGGACTGTTTGCAAAGGAGAGGAGGGCACCGGGCCCATATAGCCCATTTAGTTAATTAACTACTGAAAACCAAACAAGCTAGATGATCTCCCTCTGGTTTGTGAACATGCCTTATGTGTGCTGAGTAGACCTCAGTGGAAAATAAAGTTTCGTATTGTGACTTTTCTTGTCGTTTGTTAGCTTAATCTGTGTCATACTGTACTTTATTACTTATTTTAATTGCTTGCGTCACAGAGGTTTTGGTTTTTTGGCCTTTAAGCTAAAATGTTGAATATGTTGCATTTAATTCAGTCTTCGAATGACAGCACAGAGAGGGGCCGGCTGGTTTGTGCATCCAGGAGTTCTCATGCTGTATAAATGAAACTTTTTTTTTTAGAAGTCATTCCTACCACATCAGGCAATGTATACAAAGCTTGTTTCTGATAAGCACTATCTCAACTCACAGTACCCGGTCAGGTTTAATGTAAAGCACTCTCAATCAGTCTGTTTTGTAATCCTATCGGTGCAATCTGAAGATGCCAGTACACGCGTGCGTGTAGCTTGCAAGCAGTGTGCAGGGGACTCCGTTCAGACTGCTTTACAGTCCTAGGGTTTTCCCTGAAAGTAAAAAATTTGGAAACAGTTTAGAAAATACAAATCAATGTAAAAAAAAACCCAAGATGGTGTTGGAAAGCAATCACAGTGGTTTTAACAAAAGTGCTTAGACAGGAGTCTAAGGAGTGCTGTGTCTCTGCTGTTACCTCAGTACGGTGTTGTGACCAAAGTCCTTATCATATAACCCCTTCCTAGGGGACAGTCCCAGTGCCGAGCGAACGAGGTGTGTCCTGTCCTCAATGATCCTGTGCCTGGAGCATGAAACTAGACGAGAATAATAATAACTTTCATATGGCGCCTTTACAAGTCATCAGCTTCGAAAGAAAAGAACGCTAAAAGCAGAGCTCGCCGTTCTGATTATATTTTTCCTTCACGTCTGCACTTGCTGACGTTCTCCGAGTGGTAGGAAACACAATATTCCCGCGTCAAGCACAGGATGTGGAGGGCAGAAACGGATAAGAACTGTGCATAATGAGATAAAAAAAAAAGATTTTGCTTAGTGTTCCAGGTCCACAGTACACGCAGGAGTGAGTAGCTGCGTGTTACTGAAGCTGGGAGGCTTAGCTGGGCTCTCTGCTCTCCAGAACTCGAATAGTTTCCAGGGCTGTGCAGAGGGCCCGAGTGTTTGATGCAAGTCCTCTGTGTCCCACCAGGGCGGCGATGCTGAGCCGACTGGCCCAGGGCGTGAACTCTGTCTTACAGGAGCTGTCAGGGGAGGAAAACCCTGAGGGAAGCCCACAGGTGAGAGCCGAACACATGATTCTTCCACCTTCTGCTTAACAGCCCTATCTTTCGAAAAGTCAGAACTAGGTTTCATGGCCCAAATTAAGGTTAGTGGTATATCTCTTCATTAGTAAGACTCTTTTAAATTAGGGTGGGAGTTAAGAGCTGCAATTGCAATGAATTACATGTTAACACATTACAGACCATTAGCTCTATGTCCCAGCATAGCCCTAGAGGACATGGAGCTGACATATGAATTTTTATTCTGTCCTTAAGAGCTTATAAAGTGCAGCTAACAATCACTTAGGGAAGTTGCTCTATTTGCTGTTCTGTGTATAGAAACAGGGTGTCATGGCGGCACGGTGATGAGCACTGCTGCCTCACAGTTCTGGGGCCCTGGGTTGAGTTCCTGGAGTGCTGCTTGCAGGGAGTTTGCATGTTTTCCCCGTGTTCGCATGAGTCTCTTCTGGATTCTCTAGTTTCCTCCCACAGTCCAAAGACATACTGGCTTCTGGGAAAAACTGGCCCTGCTGTGTTTGTGAGTGCGTTTGTGCTTGTGTGTCTGCCCTGTGATGGACGAGCGTCCTGTCCAGGGCGTAGCCCGCCCTGTGCCTGTTGCTTGCCGGGACAGGCTCTGGCAGGGTGTTGAATGGTGAAGGGTAGTGTTGCATGCGCTGTTATGGCCTTTTAGTCTAAAACAGCAAGAAGGCTCATTTTACTGACACAGAAATCAGTTGCTGAATTGCCGAGTGGCAGATGTTGATAGCTGTCCCCCGCATGACGGAAACGTGTCTCTCCTGTTGGCTGAACACCTGACCCTTGACCCTTCCTTCCCAGGATGGCTTGGTCCCGTCGGGCTCTCCTGACGACAGCATGGCCTCCGAGGGTCCCGGCGTGGGGGAGGACGTCCTGGACCGGCTGGCCCAGACGGAGCAGCTGGTGGTCCAGCTCAAGGAGGTCATCCGAGAGAGAGACGCCAAGCTGCAGAGCGCCGAGCGGCAGCTGAAGGTGAGAGAGGGGTGAGAGGGCGCGTGGCCGGAAGAAAGGGCTCGTTTTGAACACAAAGGAATGAGCATCGATTTCAGAGAGAAATTCTCTGATCCTGTGATCCCTGTAACTGTTAATGGAGCTGCTATTGACACAGTAAATGAATATAAATGGGGCTCTTATCGATTATGAATTGAATCGGACTGCCAATATGGAGGCAAGGTATTTAAAGGCGGAACAGGGGTGGTGTTTTTTAAGGAAGTTATAGAGTTTTGACTAACTTCCATAAAGTGTTGCCACTTTTCTTTTTATGTAAGAGTTTTATTCAGAGCATCCTGACCTTCTGTGCTCAGAGCTGGGGGGGGTGCCTTGTCCTCGCAGACCAAAAACAATTTGAACAAAGTGATCAGGACTGCTGGCAAGATTACCGGCACATCCTTGGACTCAATAACATTTCTGACGGAGCGACATATTAATCTTGCACATAAACACTTAGACGATCCCTCTCACCCACTCTTTTTAGAATAAAAGAGCACACCAGCCCTCATCGACCCCCTGCAGGGACAGGAGGGGAGTAGACGATGCAATACACACATTGTTAAATCTGGTCTGGACATCTGGACCAACCAGCGACCTTTGTAAGGATTTTATTTGTTGACGTCTCCTCCGCTTTTAATACAAGACAGCCACTGTTGCTTGCACAGAAGCTCTCAAAGTACTTCAGTCTGAATGGTAACTTGATCAGGTGGGTGCTAGACTTCCTAACTAATAGGTCTCAACAGGTCAGATTGGGGAAGTGCTTATCTGACATTCACTGCACATCAATCGGATCGGCTGTGTCTTGTCCCCTCTGCTGTACATTTTGTACACTAATGATTGCATAAGCAAACACACAGATAGACATCTCATTAAGTTTGCTGATGGCACAGCCCTGGTCAGTTTATTAAGGGACACAGAATACCATCATGGGCCCATTCTAAATGATTTTACTAACTGGTGCAATGAGTTCGCCCTAAAGTTAAATGTTTCAAAAACAAAGGAACTGGTTATTGATTTTACGAAAAATACCACACCCCCTCAACCCACTATAATTGATGGTCAGCCTGTTGAAATTGTCAATGACTATAAGTACTTGGGACTTGGTCATTGACAAAAAAATAAAAGGGGAAAAATGTTGTGAAACTATAAAAAACGCCAATGGAGACTCTTCTTTCTTAGGAAACTCAGTTACTTTCAGGAAGATAAAACTATTCTTACACTTTTCTACAAATCATTGAAAGTGTCTTAACATACTGCTTCACTTGTTGGTTTGGCAACATAAGTATCAGTAGTTGCAATAGGCTGGGTAAATGAGTGAAAATGAGTGGCAAAATAATCGGGAATAATCAAATCAACTTAAGCATCCTTTACAAACAGAGGGTGACTAAGAAAGCCAAAAGCATCAGGGAGTGTGTGTGTCTCACCCCCTCCTTTGTGAATTCACACTTCTCCCATCTGGGAGACACCTCTCTGCCCCCAGGTGTAAAACCAACAGACTCGGGAAATCTTTCATTCCCACTGCAATTACACTCTTAAACAATGCAAAGAAACTACCTTGTCTCCTGTTTGTTATCTCCTGTAACACTACTGTGTTTTCTTTCCTTTTGATGATGTTTATTAGTCTTTGTTTTGTTTTACGGCACAGTCAAACACATTTCCCCTAGGGGACAATAAAGCTTGAATTGAAATGAATATGGTCTCCTACCCTCTGTACCCTCTGGGAAGAGGAACCAGATCCCTGTATAAAGGCTAAGACTGCATTTACTTCCTTTATACCTATAAACATTCCATTATTCATTAATGAAAAAAAACATTTACAGGTAGGGATCTTATTATTGTTAATATGATCGTTTTTAGATTCTTTACCAGCTAATCGCCTGTTTTTTAATCTTGAGGTGCTGGAAGAGTTCTGATGGGGTGATGTTGTGAAATGTTGTCCTGTTGTATTATTGCCTTATATGTCATGTGTTTTGAGCTCTTGATGTGCAAGACAGATTCCCTTAGGGGCAATAAATGTTAATTCAAGATTCTGTTCAAGGATGAGAGCTGGAGAAGGATGTCGGGAGGGCAGAGAACTCTTTTCAGCTTAAACTGTGGCTCTAGAGGAGATCTAGAAGGGAGGAGAGGCGATATTGGAAGATTTAAATGCAGAGTCAGGCTGTAATTCCCTCTCTGTCTTCCAGGAGGAGCGTGAGGCGGCAGATGCAAAGCTGTCCAAGCTCAAGCTGCAGGCCAAGGCCAAGGTGGTCACCCTCAACAAGCAGATCGAGGAGCTGAAGGGCCAGGGGCGGCCCAGCGCTGAGGGCAGCCAGGTGAGGGCAGAGAGAAGGGCAGCTCACACTGCCCCTTGTGGCCTGGAGGAGAAAGACCAGGCTCTCCGCAGCTTGTGTAAGAACGGAAGAAAAGTTCCAAAAGGAGAGGAGGTCACTTCACCCAGCTTGCCTGTTTGGTAGTTAGTAGCTTTATTGATCCAAAAATCTCATCCAGCCATTTCTTCCAAGACCCCAAGTTATCATCTTCAAAAACATTGCTGGATAATTTGTTCTATACTCCCACTCTTGTTACATGTGTAACGATTGTGTGTTACATACTGCAATACCCGTAAGAAGTATCTGTCTTAAGTTTATTTCCCCTAATAAGTGCCTGCTGTTATCAAGCATTTGCTACACTTTTTGTTCCTGCTAATGTAAAAATATAGTTATTGTTTATTACCTTCACTTTTTTAGTTTTTGCTAGGAGTTTTACTGTGTCTTTCGAATAGGATAAAATATACAGAGCCTTGGAAAAGTATTCAGACCTTTTAAAAGGTTTCAAATGTTGCTGGATTGCAAATGATACTTAGGCATCCTTATCCAATCTGTTTTTTTTGCAAACTCACATGCTTAACCCGAACATTTTTAAAGACAGAATTAGTTATTTGTCAGCAGATCGCGTAAAGAAAGTAAAAAAATGACTTATGGAAAATAAGAAATGCAGCTTGCATAAGTATTCAGGCCCCATTTACACAGGTGGAAGAAATTGGAAGGATCTAATTGCCTCTTATAATGAATTTTGTTCTGTTTTATATATAGCTGCTGTGAGAGGAGCTGTGTGTGAGAGCACAGTGCTTGGGTTGGGAAGTGCAAATTAGAGAGCAAAACTAAACATCAGAGAATAAATTGCCATTTTCGCCGTCCTGTTTGAGCCACTGTTCCAACACAGGTAGTAACTACTGCCCCACAGACAGTGTGGGCACAATATGTAGGGGTCTCTTTTGAATAAACTAAATGGCTGGAAGTGTCAGAAATATTTGTTTAGGGTTTGTTTCCACCTTGTGTGGAGTAAATGACAATAGAATGAGAGTCTATAGGATGTCCCACAAAGATAGCGGACTGTCTAAAGATAAAGACACAAATGTGTGTGCGGGGGGGGGGGGGGGATTCACACTGCTGGGGTGTTGTCTTCAGGGCATGCAGATGCCATTTAGAGCCTCTGATCTGTCAGTGTGGTTGGAACTCTGGAATAATAATAATAATAATTGCTTACACTTATATAGCCCTTTTCTGGACACTCCACTCAAAGAGCTTTACAGGTAATGGGGACTCCCCTCCACCACCACCACCAATGTGCAGCATCCACCTGGAGGACGCGACGGCAGCCATAGTGCACCAGAACGCTCACCACACATCAGCTATCAGTGGGGAGGAGAACAGAGTAATGAAGCCAATTCATAGAGGGGGAGTATTAGGAGGCCATGATTGGTAAGGGCCAATTGGAAATTTGGCCAGGACACCGGGGTTACACCCCTACTCTTTTCGAGAAGCGCCCTGGGATTTTTAATGACCACAGAGAGTCAGGACCTCGGTTTTACGTCTCATCCGAAGGACGGCGCCTGTTTACAGTACAGTATCCCCGTCACTATACTGGGGCATTAGGACCCACATGGACCACAGGGTGAGCACCCCCTGCTGGCCCCACTAACACCTCTTCCAGCAGCAACCTTAGTTTTTCCCAGGAGGTCTCCCATCCAGGTACTGACCAGGCTCACACCTGCTTAGCTTCAGTGGGTTGCCAGTTGTGAGTTGCAGGGTGATATGGCTGCTGGAATGATGTCACTTGGTAAGTCTTGTGAGGGCTGTGTAAGTTCAGAAGACACGCTGCATCTTACTGAATTCTGTTCTCCGGGGGCACGACAAAATCTCATCCTTCTAGGGAAGGGATGTTTCTCCCTTTTTCCACTGGTGTCCTTTTCTCTTGGCTATCAACCATGCCAGTTTTGTTTCCTAATCCTCCCTCTCCTCTCTTCTTCAGAGTCCTGATGTCTCTCTCTCCCTGGCCCCGGGGCTGGAGGAGGAGCTGCAGCAGCTTCGGCTCCGCCTCCAGGAGGAGGAGTCTGTGAGCAGGACCCTCCGGGAGCAGCTCGAGGTGTCTGAGCAGCGCCTGCGTGAAAAGGAGGAGTCACATGCTGAGCAGGTAAGCGATTGGGAGGAGTTCGGGCCCAGCTTTGCACGATTTGTTTTGAAAACCTAAGTACCACTTTTATTGAAGTGCTGCTGCTCTGCTACATTTTTATTGGGAGTCCCTTTGAGGTGCATGGCTATTCCTCTATTGCTTCCGTCCATCATCAGAAATATGCTAATCCCTGATAAGGGTTTTGGCAATCTGGACCCTATCCTGGAGGGATGATGTGGGGTGGGATACTGTCAGAGAGTACACTCACGTTTGCACAAAGCAAGTAAAGGGATGCCAGCTAACCGTCTTTGGAAGGTGGGGAGAAACAGGAGCACCCAGGGAAAACTGGAGCAAACTGTTGGAGAGCAGCCAGGCTTCACACATAAGGCACCCTGGCCTGGAATTGAACCCTGGACCTAAGAGTTGTCAGACGGCAGCACTGACCACTGCCCTATATCATGGCCATTGACATGAGTGTCCTGCTTGATTATTGCCCTGCACTCTAGTATTGCCCTGTCCCGTACGGGGTGTTGAATGTGCGCGCGCTGCTCTCTCCCTCAGCTGCGTGTGCTCCAGGCGGTGGTGTGCGAGAAGGACGCGCGCTTCCAGGAGCAGGTGCAGAGACACGAGGAGGAGCTCCTGAGAGCGGCCGCGCGGAGCCAGGCCCAGACCGACTCCGAGCTGCAGCAGGCCCTGCGCGCCGCCCAGCGCCGCACCGAGGAGCTGGAGGAGTCCCTGCGCTCCCGCTCCCAGGTGCTGGAGGTGCTGCAGCAGGAGATCCTCAGCGCCGACCAGCAGAAACAGGTACAGCGTGTTGAGGAACGGTCAGGTTAACAGTGGGACCGATGTTGAGAGACGGACGGACTGAACCGTTTGATAAGTAGAAGGAAAAGACGCTTGTGTGGACCGAAGCTTGCAAACAGAGAGGGACGGGAGCACGTGACGTCTGACCCAGTGCTGAGCTGTTGTCTTCATCCCGCCTCCCCCTTTTCTGCCTGTAGATCCTGACTGCACAGTTCAGACAAATGGAGGCAGAGCTGACAGAGGCCGGGAGGCAGCGGGAGGAGCAGCAGCAGCGCTGGGCGGACGAGGCTGCCAAGGCAGAGGCGCAGCTGGCTGAACTGAGAGGGAGGCTGGAGGCAGCAGAGGGAGAGCGAGCTGAGACGGCTAAGAGAGAGGAAGAGGAGGCAGCAGAGATATCCTTCCTCAGGGAGAGGCTGGAGGCAGCAGAAAGAGAGAG